GCTTGCTGTGGCTTGCTGTGGGCTTGAGTTGTAAATTTAAATCCTTGCGACTAAGACAAATTACTAGCGATTTTGTAAGATTCACGGTGTATAAACTATCGTGGTCCAAAGTGGTTCTGAATCTGAGCATAATTGCCTTGTGCTAGTAGCTTTTCTCTTATGTGCATGATTCTCGGTGAAGAAGTCTGCCAATGTACAAGTTGCGGGCCAAGACACTGCATAATTGAATTCTGATATTGAGAAAGTGCGGCGCATTGTACGAAGAGTAGTATAGTTGAGGTAGAACAATCAATTTGAACGGAATCAATGCAGAAACGAAAAAGCCCAAGATAGATGTTCCAGTGTTGCATTCTATATTCGTAATTTGGGGCAGGCTCAAAAAGGACATGCATTGTCTTTGGCACGGGAAAAATGTGGCATGAAACTCTTAGTCTCTATATACCCCAATAATGGCCAACATCACAATCGCCATTCGGACCATTCTCTTCTAAGCCGTCGCTTTATACAGGTCGCTATCAGCGAGCTATCTGTCCAAAGGAGATATATGTAAGACCGAGTGTGGCCTCAAGCAATCAATCTCAGAAGAGTCGCCCGAAAGGTAATATTCCACTATCAATCCACTGACAAATCGTATGTCATATCAAGTTGAGAATCCTTCAGCCGCATAAAAGCATCGAGAATCATCTCCTTCTTGCTCTTAAGCATAACAAGTCCATTTTGATGCTGAGGATTCCTTTCGTCGTAGAGAGGTGAACCACAGATTTGTGCCTCGGTAACCCAGCAGTAATCAAGATGTTCATCTTCCCTTAACCGTATAGGTCCTTTATTCCTACCGACGGGCTGCTGCTGTCTGTCACACCATGTTCGTTGGAGCTTGAGTGGCTGATGAACTTCCAGAGGATATATGTATCTTGCCATCGGAACTCCCTTGTGTATCCACGGATCCCTGTAGACCTGACGAAAAATGCGCGAGCCGTGCAAGTTGACTTCTTCTTCCGTCTCACGTTTGGCAGTGGTCAGAATAGTTTTATCGAATTTCTCTCTCGATCCCCCGGACGGCTCCCAGGAGAAGGACCATGAGTCCTCCTTGTTATTGCCGCTCTCATCTTTACCGAGTAGAGCCCATTGACAGAGAAGGACGTATACGGTAAGTAGTTCGTGATTATCACAAAGAAAGGTAAGAGTTACTGGCCGAAAATCGCTCAATCTCGGGTTGCTTTGCTTGAAGATCGACAAAGGAGACATCCGTATCCTCGACTGGAATGATCTAAAAGCTCATGATGTTGAGAAGGGGATGAAAACAAGCTCGGGAATGGAGAAAATATTGTTGTATGCTCGTCGAAGATTTCGACGGCGGACAAATGGTACTTAGGCTTCTTAGTCCGACCGGTCATCACATTGGGTGCTGTAACAGGAACAAAACCCGGGTGGCTTTCCTCAAAGCGCTGTTGTGTCACCTTGTGGTTATAAACTACGCGCATACCAAATACGGCGTTTTTGTACGAAAACTAAAGCAGTGTGCACTAGTCATCATGTCCAGGAGATCTAGAAGCAAAGTATGGTATCCTAAGCAGTAGAAACATCAAAATGTTCAGTGATAGGACTTCCTGCGTTGCCAATTCGTCTTTTTACAGGTATATTCTTTGCTGGCTTTATCTTTCAGTGGCTTCCACTCTGGATCCCTCCAATGCTGCAGTGTGTGACAAATCATGCGTGAAAAATATCCTCCGTGGTCGAGAAGAAATGCACACCCAGCATAACGCAACGGCTCAGGTATTTATTTGATTTGTTGTAAGCCTTTCCGGGAGAAGCAACGTTGCGCTTATAATGATTGGTTCGATCGGCTTGTGTTCGGTTACTTCGCATACCAATTATAAGACCAGAATAAGCGCCGCTTGGTGTGCCCATATTATATGCCCGGCATGCCACCCACTGTCCAATTAAGTTACCATAGAGGTCGCCAATTCATCCACAATCAGGGATCGGCCAAGACCATGTCTTATCAATAGATGATCTTTAACCAGATTCAGAACCCGCACAGCGGGTACCTGGTTTGGTTTAGCGCAGTGGGGTGGTCACAGGTACGTAATTGTGACTAAGCACTCACCGACAGTCGGTCCCCTCCTGTCAGTGAGCCAATGCCTAAACACAAACCAATGCCTAAACACAAAAAATTCAACTATTCAATTTCAAACCTAATTTCCTCCCAACATATCATCTGGATCTACCCATTTAAATAGCTCACTATTTTCATCAATATAATCTCTCTCTCCTGATGCCTCTTCTTTTTCTTTGAGAGCTTGTTGGGCGCGATACCAATAGTCTCGAATTCTTGCATTTCCGATCTCACGACAGATCTCAACTCTGTTTTCGTTCGCAGCACGTCGATGAACTCTGATATTGCCCGCAATTGATGATAATGGGGATTTTGAAGCTCCTTTTATAATACGTCGTGATTTTTTAATCGGAATTCTGTGTTTTTGCATCCTTTTGATCGTTTGTTTTGCAAGGTTCAGATCTTGAAGCGCCTGTTTACCTCCACGAATAGCACGTTTTACATGCTTTTGGAGTTTTGAAACGTCTGGTTCATCATTTTCGAGGATTGTTTCGAGTTTATCCTCAATTTTTGACCATCTGTGAGGTGTATTTGGTGGTGAATTCGTCTGTGAACTTGGGATTTCGGCTTCGGGGGAGGGCGTATGACCATAAATTTCAATCACTGGTTCATCTTCCCACCCAGGATCAATTTGATCAGGAACAAGTTTTGGATCCCAAGGCCAAATGCCAGTATCCGCAAATGCTGATTTGATAGTTTGCGATTTGAATGTGTCTTTGCGGACTGTTTTGATCATTCGAAAAAAATGCCGTTTATCATTGACATCGCCACCCCAGCGTTCAATCTCATTGTTCTTCCGCCGAAAACGCTGTTTAAGAACTGAGAATGGTTTACCGTCAAGAGGTTGACATCGATGTGTCATTTTTGGAATAAACCAATAAGGAATGATGTTAAAACTTTGACAGATATGCTCGAATTCCGGGGTTCCATGAGAACCATGATTGTCCATAAGTAGAACTCTAGGTCTACCTTTGGTAACTCGCTTTTTCGTGACGAAATGGAAGTCCAATAGCCATTGAATTGCAGTTGTATCGTCTGTCCAGCCTTTAGAAGTTGGTTTAATAACCCGGTAATTGGCTATATTATCGTCGTCTTCGAACCAGTCTTCCATATGCTCAGAACCGCGAATCAAGAACCAAGGATGCATAACCCAGCCATCAGCTGAAATACATTCAATGCCAGTAATATTCTGACCAATTCCACCGGTTCCAATAGTCTCATTTTGGCGGGTAGACACGACATTTTCCTTTGTTCCAATGCCTAGTTGAAAGCCAGTTTCATCCCAATTATATAATTCATTGGCTTGGATCTTATTCTTTTTGAGAAAATCACCAAAAACCTCATACCAATGAATTAATTCACCGTGAGATTCAGCCTCGATTCTCGCTTTTTCTATAGGTTTTTGGGTTCGGAGGGTAATATGGGGTGGTAAACGTTGGATAAATTGATATCCGTACATTTTACTAACCCGTCGGTCGGAACCGCAGTATTGTAAAATGCGATTTGCAGCATCCTCAATATCAAAAGCATTAGGTGGTGTATAGACCGAATTAAGGAGCTCGATCCAATGAATCAAAGACTTCTCTTGCGACTCATTTAATGCTTTATTGGTAGCTGCACGCCCTTTTTACTCGGTCGGCCCTCATTTCGGTTTCGCAGCTTCCACTTTGACACGTTAAAATGGGAGGCTGCAGACTTGATACTCTTAAATTGACCAGAATTATAGGCTTCAAGGGCATTTGAGAGCAAGATCTCTTCTTTTTCGGTAGAAAACGGCATTGTTTTGGTGGAGAGAATTGGGTTTGAAATTGAATAGTTGAATTTTTTGTGTTTAGGCATTGGTTTGTGTTTAGGCATTGGCTCACTGACAGGAGGGGACCGACTGTCGGTGAGTGCTTAGTCACAATTACTCTGGACACAGGGTTCGTTCAGGACCGATCCAGTGCTCAGTAAAGGGTTTGTGAACTTGTATGCCTGACAGTTAAGAGGGTTGGGAACCGTACCGGCTTTCTGTTGACGCGGAGCCTAAGCCTTCGTTGTCCTGTAGCAAGTCTTAGCCGATGTTTGGGGTGAAAGAATGCTGCGTGCATATCGTGTTAAGAACGTCGAAAAGATTGTAGCAAGTATTACGAAGACTAGTGAAGGCGAGGAGATGTAGAAGCTGGTAAATATAGTGCAAGTGTGATTGAACTGCAGCGAACCGTCGCACGGACCTTTCTGGGTCTCGGTCCCAGGGGTAAATCATCGATCGATTTGCCTCCGACGCTCCTTGCTGTTTGCCTGCCTGGAGTAGGTGACTTGTTGGATCTCTTCTTTTTCTTCGTCAACTTTGACTAATTCATACCGAACATAACACATGACGTGTGGTCGCCGAATCCAGTTCGATGGTAACGATGCTGATTACATTCAATTTCTTGAAGGGCGAGTTCTCGAGTTGGAGAACATTGTCCACCGATCATGTTCTCACAAAGCCCGCGGTCGAAACAATCATTCCCCCGTGAGCCGTGGGGATTTAAGTCGAGCCAACCATACGGGTGGTGCAGCGGAGGGCAGCAGAAGACAGACTAGTGAATCAGCCAATAACATCCAAGGAGGGTTGGGAGATGAAACGAGGCTGGTATCGTCAGGTCGAAGAGCTAGCCAAGTTGACAGCAACACAAGTGGCAGCACATTTGAAATTATCGAGTTTCGTCCGCCATGCGACATAAATCTCTCTTCAAAGAAGAGAAAAAGAGATATGGGGAGTCAGGGCGCAAAAGGTCAGCTTCGGATGCTCTCCAGCTTCACGTCCTTCGTCCGGAATCTACCCCAGTCGGACACATGGAAAAGGTGGATTTCTGTGTGTGACACAAAACGCGCAACGCTTCTTCGTGGTTTAGTACAGGGCTTTGCTCCATGTGACGAGCCCAAGGTGCTGCTCAACAAGACATCCAAGCCTACAAAAATTTTTATCCTGCACCAGTACGGTAACTCGATGAAATCTTCCAGTACGACAAACCGGCAATTGACTTGCTTCCGGGAGCTCATATTTTGCTCTTTGTGTGCAGTCGCTTTGACAGCTGTCGAAAGCAAAGATGACGTGTATGAGACCATGCGGGGGTTTTTGGATCCGATGCCTATTCAAAACGTTTCGAGACGCTTATTCGTGGTGCAAAATGGGTTAACAAAGTCATATCTCTTTTATCTCACACCAGGTGGGCTTTACGAAGCTGGGACATTTTCCTTGTTGGTATGTTTCGAACCACACTCTTTGAACAAACTAACACTCGCAAGCTGCACGCCAAGTTAGTTATTATGCCCGATTTAACGACTTTTCTATCGAGCCCAGGCGTTTACTGGATGGTTTGAAAACACAAATACATGACGACTCTTACCCGAAAAATACTACAGACACCTCGGTGCCCCTTGCAATCCCTTTGATAATAAACGAGATTTTCAAAGATAGCACCTCGTATGTTAATCATTTGTATACTATTCTTTGACAAGATGCTGACAAAGCTCCACCTTAGGTTATCAGAGATCTGCGAATGCTTAGGATATACATACTCGAAAGTCGAGTCACATCGTGCTCTCTTCAACAATACCTTCCAACGAACACAACGTTCTGAACAGGTTTTATGGAGAGCAACAACCGATCTCCCGGACATACACGTTGTTGAAGGTGGACATAGGGCGTCGAGGTCAATTGCAACGGCCGGAGCCACTACCGGAGCCACTACCAGTAGCATCCAACGTGGACCAAGATTTCATGGCTCAAGCGCAGTAGGTCAACATTACGGCCATGGCCCTAACACCACCAAACGACATAAGGGCTCTAAAGAAGCAGGACGTTTGGAAGAACATCGCACTGATAATTCTGAGCCGGCGCCAACAGGTAACATGTCCTTGAAGCTGATAGGCTGATAGTCAATTACTAAACCTTAAAGATGGCAGGTATCAAAGGACGTCAAATCAAACTCAAATTCGATCAACACCAGCGGTGCCCCAATCGGAGAATGAGTTTGACAATTTATTCGGAAATCTGCCTGGCTTGCAGGACGATATAGATTGTCAATCCCACCCGGCGGACCTAGAACCCGCTGGCGCTGAACTTACAACAGTGAGCGAGAACCTTGGGGTGAGCAATCCATGGTTCAGCACATACCTTAATCCTGAAATCAGCGAGTCAGCGCCACAGAGAGGGAGCATTGGGACAGGCGAGGCGTGGTTCAGTACATACCCAAATTTGCAGCTCGGTGAGTCTGTGCCACAAGCAGGAAGCATTGGGACAAGCGAAGCGTGGTTCGGCACATACCCAAATCCACAGCTCAGCGAGAGAGGCAGCCTTGGGATAAGCGATGCGTGGTTTAGCACATACCCAAATCCGCAGCTCGGCGAGTCTGTGCCACAGGGAGAGAGCATCGGGACAGGCGATGCGTGGTTCAGCACATACCGAAACTCCTAGAATGAATTTCAATATTTCGGGATTGATACTCAGTAGGCTACACTTACACCACTATGCGTTCCATTAGGGCTGCAACAAGAAGGTCAAAGTTTCAGTGCGCTCCGTGCTAGCCCCGCAGAATTTGTTAGTTGCAACAAGTTTATTTGATGCGTCGCTGGATCGCTTGAAATATTAAGATGCATAATTTATACAATGAATATCAAATCAAAGAAACCCATGAGTCCCTCTCCAGGTCTATGGAAGAAGGACAATCAGACAATCTAATTGCTCATTCAGCTCCAGAGTCTCCATTAGCTGAATATAGCTTCCAGGTTTTAAAGTTTCACCCGCGACCTGTATGTTTCCAGAGCCTATGCTTTCAGGCCCGGACCCAATTGACAGAGGGAAAAAAAACACCGATCGATCATCGTTAGGCTTTTCAATCAGAGCCGTTCCAGATATTCGCTGCAGCGATGCGAGATGACCCTAAATTCCATTTAGAAATTTGCTCATTTGCAGCTTGTGATATCGATTTACCGGTATATTGGCGTATCCGAGCTTCTCTAATAATGGTCGCACCTTGGCTTCGCGATTTTTGTCCGTGCATACCAGTTTATTCACCTTCCCCTTCTCCGGCTCCATTTTTGCGCTTCGAACCCAAGAAGCCAACTCGGTGAACTCCTGTAACGCATCGGTCTTGATTTCGATCGGGGGCATGGCTCAGCGGGGTACGACTGGACGAACAATATTGGACTGCAAAAAAAAAGAAAAAACATCTTCTAAGCATCATGGCTGTGAAAGCGAAGACAGGACCGGGTTATTTACCTTTTTTTGGGTGACTGCTGATTGCTTTCCAGATGATGGAATGGCAGGCGACTGTTACAAGACAAAGCCCCAGCGGCGGGGTAGAAAGCAAGTGAGGACAGCTTAATGCCCGATCTTAGCTCCGGTCGGGAAAACTAATTTCCGAACCTGAAAGGGACGGTACCAGTCCTGCAAAATTGTTACTGTTAATGGCTTTGTGATACAGGATGGCGCTGAACTATTTGCGTTCAATTTGCTTAGAGCTCCAGAAATTTTCTTGAATCTAAAATTCGGCAGAGTTTAGAAAAACAGGAAAAGGGAATTGAAACTTCAAAAATAAAAGGCGTTATTATTGTAGTTCAAAGGAAGATATTGTCATTAGTACCAGAGGGAATAAATGTAGCTATATATACAATGACGCCACCATGTTGAATGAAAATCAACTTGGTTCTTCGTGTAGACAATGCGGGAATTAATTCCGCTGGGGCGGCTTGATTCCTGATCTGCGCCAGTTTGTTACAAACCCAAATTCCGGTAGAGACTTCGATACTTCACCATCCATTGGAATTTGACCGGGTTTTATAACTCAATCTTTGGGATTTGGGACTGTCTTACAGTAGCCAGGGGTTTTGAGGCAAAAAGTGACATATACACTTGTTCACCGGGCCCAACGCGCACGTAATCCTACGACGTATGCAATCCGTCCTAGGAGCAATTAGGGCTCCGAAAGGAATATGATTATTTGTGAATAATCATGAATATCTGCGAATATGAATTAAATGAATTGAATAATATGAATATGAATAAGCCCTCTATTCATATTCGCATTAATCATGAATAAATGAATAATTCATATTTATCCCAAATACGCAGATCCCATACATTACCATTCATTTCATTACATCCCAATACATCAATAGGGTTCATCATTTTGTTCTTACGCAGCGTAATAATACGAGGCTTTGAAGTTTGAATTACCAGAAATTTATGCTTGATACCGTTCTCTCAGTAGCATCAACCATCGCATAGTCTCTGCGTTTAGGCAGTGTCTTCGGAGACCCAACATATCTCTGGCATTACTGAATTCGCGTTCAATACCGACCTCTGCTGAGGGGATCGATAGGTAATCGCGAGCGGCTTTTGCCATTAGAGGGAAATTAAATTCGTTGGCCCTCCACCATTTCAGGACCCATTCTTCGTCCGCATCGCCGATCATATGGTGGGACCAGCTGACCGGTGGTGAGTCCAAATATTTATCGATATCAGATGAAAGTTTTCCTTGGGCAGGCTGAACTTTGCGCAGAGTTTTCCACATGGTTTCCGACATCCCCGGCGGACGTGAGTTCTCAGATTCATGCAAGGTAAAGGCCTCCGGAGGATATTCTTTCTTTAGAAACTCGCGCACTTGAGAAATGATGAGCCCTGCATCCTGGTCACTCATCTGCGATACAATCAAGGACGACTTGATACGCGGATCCAACACGGAAGCAACGTAGTAAAGAAGGTTGTCGTCCATTTTCCTGGCAAACTTGTTCATCTTCCGAATCCCTCTTTCCACTGCATTTCGAATTTCAGTGTTCACATCTTCAAAATCTCCCGCGGCATTCCGAACGTCGTTCAACAAGTCGTCCAAGCTCCAATAAATTGGTAGACTTTCCACAATTGTCGGGCGAGTCTTTGATACGGAGTTTGTGTGGTCCCAAAACAGCTTGAGAATCTTGGCTACTTGCTGAAGCGTCGACCATTCGTCATCGGTGAGCTGAAGGGCCTGGACTTCTGGATGTATCCGGACAAATTGCCCCAGCTCAGTCTGTAGCCGGAGTTTCCGAGTCTTACCGGACAGCCGAGACCTGAAAATCTTGGAGATGGATGGGTGGGGAAGGCGGCAATGCGGCCGATGTGGTAGGTCAAGTGGTTCTTAGTAAATACGCAAGAACAGCTGCCGTAAGTGGGTGCATTTATATTTAGCCCCAAAGATGTTGCGAGAGCACGATATGCTTTGTGCCATTCGCAGCCCTTCTGCCAATAGATTCGGAAGTGCTCTGTGCAATCACGACGAAAAACAGCCGTGGCGAACTGTGCATTAATTGATATCCCCCTTGACGAAGGTATAAAAGAGAGGCGTATACCAAAGCCCATCAGTATCAACACAGACTCATCAGATCACTTTCATGCTCCAGAACAATCCTCACAATCGACGTACTTTCTGCGTTATCTACATCTACAGATACGAAAATCAACGATCATGGCCTCGCGAGCACTCTCAAGCACCGCCAGACAGTTCAAGCAACTTAACTGGACCCTCCATGGAACAACCATCGACGTCGGCTGGTTGATCCAGCAAATCGAACGCTCCATCGATGAAGTTCCCGGGCTGAAGGGTCGGGTTGTCAGCGCGCAGGTAATGTAAGACACTTGAATTTCCCTTTGGACAGAAGTACGACGACTTCAGCTAACGTAAATAGCGGAAACCCTCACCCCACGCCCAACCGCGACGACCCGTATCATGGATCCGTGGTTCTTCTGGATAAGGACGGTAAACGGGTTACATCCGCGCATGCCTCAACGGATATGCCAAGTTTTCAAAAGAGGCGACATTTAAGCCTGTGAAGCTTCCCCCAATGCCTGGGGCACCGGTCGTCCCGCCGGAGGGAGTCGCGACTGGGAAGTCTGATTCGACGTCTCTATCTAATCAGTCGACCTCAGAGAAGGGCAAGAAATGATAGATCAGCATTGGGTCGTTGCGCTGAATTTGTGATTTGTAGGCAGATATATGGTTGATTTCTGTTGCCATTAGTACATGTTTGGTAGACTTCTCTATTTTTAAGTTTTTGGTTCACGGTCATCGGCTTCTACATGCGTCCACAAAAAGGAATTTGACCAATCTGCCGCAGAAGCTTGATCTGCAAAACCACTCCGTCACCCGACAGTCCAAATGCGAAAGGTTCTAGTTTTATCGTAGAAGTGTGCTTCGATGGGTACGTATTATTCTGAACTTCAAAAGGTTCAAGAAGGCCCCCTCTATGCGAGGTTTCAATAATATGGATAATGCATCGTTCCATCATTCAGAGCGGATTGCGCAGATATGTGCGGACGCGGGGGGTGAAATTGATTTATTTGCCGCCCTACTCACCTGGCTTGAATCCGATTGAGGGGTTTTTCGCTGAGCTGAAAGCTTTCATTAAACGTAACTGGGGCTACTACGAAGCAGATCTTGATCAAGGATTTGATACCTTCCTCGCATGGTGTATTGATATTATCGTGCAAAAGAAGTGAGTGCAAAAGGTCATTTTCGACACGCAGGCTGGACGATCGAAGAAATGTCAGAAAGGTCCTAGTTACTGTCTCGGTTGAGACTGAGTTCCCCGCGCAAACTCTGGACATGATGACGGCTTGTAGTGGGCTATTTACTCATTAAACCAAGGGTCATCCAAAACCTGTCTTGCTGACGCCCTTGCCGACGGCTCAAACTGCAATAACTTTCCGATGATTTGCCCCAGCCGCGCTATATCCTCTCTGGTGAGATCGGGACTCTGCGGGCCATCAAAGTATACTTCTTCTAGCCATTCCTGCAACTTGGGCCCAGTGCTTTCTATGGTTCTGCCGTCTCCTGCGTTCATCGTATCCCATATCTCGTGCCATCTTTCAGGTAGGCCATCACTTGCCATCTCTCGCATTTGGCCAACGAGGATTTTCGGCGTTATCAAGAAGGTGTCGAATGGAGGTTGACCCACGAAAAGTTCAAAGAGCTGTCATATCTATCAGTTTACTGTTATGTAGCGTTTGGCATCGGATGAATTCACCCACCATGCATCCCATGCTCCACAAGTCAACACGATAATCAATGCGATCTTGAAATATAACTTCAGGTGCCCGGACAGGTAGAGGTGTGTGTAGTGTTCCAGGAATTGCCGTGTGTAAGAATGATTCACCGAAGTCAATTATCTTGATCGACTGGGCCGAATTCCAAGAATGCGTCCGATATGAGGTAGGCCTAACGATATACTCGGGTATGCCAGGCTCCAGGTCCTTCCCATCGCTCCTTCGGACATAGCCAATTTCTGGTTTTCCTAGCATCTCAGTAAATTTCTCTTCGGTTACATTGTCCATGTAAGGCATAGTGAAGGCCAAGTTGCGGGTATGCAGATCTATTTTATGTGAGAATAGTTCACTCTGTTCCCAACAGTGACCTACCACCATGTCCAATATTTTGTCGGTGCAAGCTATCAAGTCCGATAAGACTTTGCTTCGCAATAACTTTGGCGAGCTTCCCAGGGAGTCTCCCATTAGGAAAGCGTGCATCAATTGTGTCCGGGATGTTAGGCCCTAGAAGCTCATAAACTAGGCACTTATGATGTCCATTCGGGCCCTTTAGATCGAATTGATCAAACATGTACACCGCATGTTTGGGACGAGGATGCTGAGATGCCAACTTCTTCATAGTTTGAAGCTCTCGCGTCTCCCCATCATGGTCCATTTCAGCAACAGAAATCTTGACAGCAACATAAATCTCTTTCCTGCAATCAGGTAAAACTTTATGTTAGCTAGAATCACCGTGAGTCTCATAATCTTGTACAACCTTTGATCTCTCGCCGCCCAAACTGTCGAGTAACCTCCCCATCCTAATTTATGCAACACCTTATACCTTCCAGCTTTCAAGTATTCTCCCAGTGCGACTGGGTGATAACCGCCTTGTCGGTAACGATGAAGCGGTTCCGCATCAACGGGGGAAACATAAAGGGGCTGGTCCATCTGACTCTTGTCTGGATGGGTAGACATAGACTTAGAAACAGCGCAAAGTCGTGAGATGCTCCTCAAGGGGGCAGTGCGTCGCGAAAGTACACAGCCAATTTTCATTAGAAGAAACCAAAGTTGTCTGTAGCTATTAAGTTAGATATTATCATGAGTCGAGACTGTGATCGGATGTCCGACGCGCCCGGATGACGTGGCAAAAACCCGCATACAATAGCCAATCACATGATCTGTTTTAGCGCTTGAGACCTTTTGGCGGCAAATGATTGGTCAGTGGATATATGACCACAACTAAATGAAACGGGCGCTTATGCATTCTCAAAAGACACAATAGTTATTGGAACACAATGCAAGATCAAGGAATATTACACAACTTGACGGCGGCAAAGTAGACTCACACAATCTCAGGAAAAACATATAAATCCAGCAAGTTTCTGTTCTCCAAAGACATATCTAGGCCTAAAAAGATTACTACTCGATATTCTATACAACCTACCAGTTCAATAAGAAACTTGAAGCCCATCATGTCTCCTATTCCCCGGCATGCCGTCAAGCTCACGCAGAGGATTCGCAATTCTGATTTGCGAAATCTCACACTCAGCCTCATCGAAGACGCTACTCAGAAGCCTGACCTAGCACACTTCACCATCGCCATCCTCAAGTAAGCACTATTTCAATATTCCGCGTAGCTCATTGAAAAGTCTGACTATTGCAGAAACCCATCGCATACGAGTCATACCGACCTCAAGCCGCATGCCACAGCCCTGTTTGCAACCGAGGAACAATTCAAAAATAACAAGGCTCAAACAGCACATATCTACCACGATGAACAGGGGCGCTATACTGGACACATACTGTATCAGGAAAGAGAGAACAAATCGTCGGATGAATGAAACGTGCTGAGTGATACATGGGGCACTAGTTGCCGCGTTATGTTTAGGATGAGGAATGAGAACTACAGTGTCTAGAACGGAATCGAACCGCTGCCCAGCGGTACGTATCATCAGTATCCTATATTTGGATCACCCGTTTGGTGTAACTTTGGTATCCAACGTAGCTTAAAATGTACTGCGAGGGAATGTAGCAAAATTTGAATTTAAAACTCGTCCCACCACTTCATTCCCTTCAACTAACGAGTGACTGTCAGCTTGAACAAAAAAGGAGCTCTGCATGGCGCCATAGTGCATGGAATTTCTTTAAACTTTGCAACTATTCTGAACCTTCCCAACGCAGGTAGTGTAGTGACCTTACATACGCCGTTTAGACGATAAGCTACTCAGTATTCAGATGATCCACTACCTCGAAATTTTGATCATACAAATCAACGACAGTAGAAGAATCATTCAAAATTCAGTGGCAATCACGTTCAAAGCACTACTCGATATTGCCATACAATCTACTTCATATTCAGTGGCTCACCGGTGATGGAAGGTCCTTCAGGAGATATATATTCAATCACAACGCATTTTCCACATTCGTTTGAGAGCTCAGAAATCCCAAAAGTAAATAGAGTAAAATCTAGAGGACGGAAAAAGAAATCAAAAAAACAAGGTATCTATCTCAACTATGATCACAAGTTCAAAAGTTGACTCCCGTCAACAAGGACGGCCAAGCTTCAACGGGTGGACGGGTTAAGTACCCGCGCTCGCGCGACCGCGGCCTGACGCTTTCCACAGCCTAGACGGACAGAACCACACACAGCTCAGACAACCAACACTCGAGCGAGGCCAGAAGATTTCCATGTTCCTTAGATGAGAATGTGAGCGCTCTTGGTAAAATCAAAGAACGAACAGCTTCCATTGCCTCAGTATTAGGACCGTAGATTCAACAGTGAGCCAATGGTTCTTAACCGACTCACTTTGACTCATTCTCTACTTGATTCTAGCATGTTTTCTCGATGAGCATCTAAGATCGCACCACGAATTACGCTGCTAATAGTTGCGGTAGAATGAAGGCACGGGTTGCAACAGGCCTCAAGGATAGACATCATGTTCAACGTATGCTCTCTAGTAGAGCCCGCGTGCTACAGGAGCCGAGAAACCTATAAATACGTCCTCTTCCCCCAGCAATTTGTTCTCCATTACCATCACTTGGCTATGCAGAGTCGAACAGGTCTTCGATTCCTGATAAGTTCTTCCCTTTGACCTACTGGAATTTCACTGTATTGACATCTATAGTTACATCGTGGACCGGCAAGCTAGAAAGTGCTTGTGAGACGCGACGACCACCAGGTCCACCATGTCACTCATGCCAGCCGATCAAGAAGCAGATTTGGGTTAGCTAGTCAAAGTATCTATGCGAACATCTGTCCACCATAGCAGCCGACCACTGTCCGCTCCTGAATATACCGATGCAGAAGAGCGATCGAGGTAAGTCTGTCTCCGCGCGACCCTATCCGAGACTAGACTGAATTCAAAGACGGTGCGAAACAAAGATCCATGCATTCCATCCAACATACACCAGCCACGGTGCCCTTTCCCGTGTCGTCTTTCAGAACATGTGAGTCATGCATTGCCTTGCCGATCGACAAGCTAACGATGGACAGGAAACCGTTGACAGCGCACCAGACCGAGTCCGAACCAGCTCTCCGTCAGTGCTCCGCGCAGGGTCATGGCTTACACGCCATTTCTGGTCCTATTACTTCAAACCATGCAACATGTCCTATGTGAAATACTGCAACTAAGGCCGCGGGCAAACAACAGGACGCATAAGCTCCAGACGTTCGTTGTCCACGACGAGGTGAGTGCAATATCACGCCTCCTGCTGCGCCGGGTCCAATGATTTGTGCCAACTCTGTGCCGGAGACACAAACACCACTGACATCTCTATGCCATTGTAGGAGCAGCCCATCGCCGACTGCGATAATTCTTGTGGCGAGTAACCTTTCCCGCCGAGTCAAGACCCAGGGCCCGACGCGCCATCGCGTCTTCCCCCTCCTCACCGCCTTCACACCATGAAGGCATGAACAGCGGAATGCCTCAACCTCTCGCTGTCTGCACGAAGCTGTCTCCTATTACAACTGTACAATTTCTTGTCACGCGTGAGTCGTCATACGCCTTTGCCGTCTTGTGAACTTGTCGGTTCATCCAGCGCGGCTTCTCGAAGCGACAGCCGGAGAGTGCGACGAACCTGAATACAACATGGTATATTGGTGACTGCATTGCAGAACTGAATTGGCACTGATCTAGTTGGTAAGCTGGTATGATGACGATCCTGATTGACCATTTGTCTCAACCGTACACTCGGCGAATTCTTATCAACAACGTAAAGCACATTACCTCGTCCGCTGGGTCAACACTTGCTGACACGGATCTCACAACAGGAGACACCCTCATATTCTCACACTCGAATTCGAAGCGAGCAATTGTCTTGTCTGCTCAACCTCCCCTACACCAATACCATCGCATGCTCTGTTTCTTCCACATGACTACCGGTGGCATCGACGAGTCGCTACCTCGACCTTCTCCCAGTCGATTTGGTTCATCAGATCACGCGTTGGTATGCCTACCTGATGCAAGACCGAATGGAGCGCATAGCAGTGTCTGTCTCTCGGCATTCGAACACCCTCATAGGATAGCCTGCTTGCGGCTCGGATCCCCAGCGTCCAGTGGACGACCATCGTTATCCTTGGATGGCGTCTGCGTCTCTCGAGCCTGAAAATCTGAAGACACCGGGAGGAGCCGATGTTTCGTCTTGCTAAAGCGTATTTTCTTACACGGGTCGAGTCTGCTTGCAAAGAGAATGTAAGGCGAGTCCCGTCATCTCTAACCGAATCAACTAACAATAGCCATGTCAGCTTCGAATCGATGGACAAGACCGCGGATGGCCAAACGATTGAGAGAACCCATGACCCAAGAACTACGTCTGATAGAGTCATCTTGATTCCTCTTCCTCTCCGGGTTGCTGAGCTTTTGGACATGTACGGGGGAGCGGGAACCACTCGGACATACACGGAGCTGCATGCTATCAGGATTATTTGCTTTTCTCTGTTAGACAGAAGCTTGGCGATTTCATTCCTACGCCTGTGTTTTTCTATCCAAGCCCGAGCACTACGTGCAAAGCCCATACACCTTGAATGTCACAGCAGCTGGATGCCAGTCAAGTTATCCAGTATCCTTCATCCATTGAGACCGTCGTCTAACATATCGCAATTGGAGGCGCAAGCACGTCTTGCCAGCAAATCACCGATTCCTCTACGTCTCTGAGCTCACTGTGCTTTGACCATCTATGATGTATTTCTCCGCGCCCAAGACGATATCTGGCATATGACTGTTGAGCAATTCACCGTGAAGGTGGGTTTGATGTCTGTAACAGCACCACAAGAGCCCTCGGGTTGTAGGACCTCTGAATGTCCCGTACAGCCTGTACGAATTATCTACCCCAATAAGCGCTCATGTTATATTTGCTTGGGGAGGATTTGAGCGGATGCCTGCTAGGGTCACACGTGGATGAGAACACCCCTGTACAAATCACCAGGTCCCGAGCGCTGATTAGGGAGAGTGTCTTAGCAGTTCTGATTTCAGATGGCTCGTTGGGCCCCGATCAGAAATCAATCATGCTATATCAGCAGCGGAGCATGATTTATCGCATGTAGTGGGGAATAAGCCTCACAGAAGGTAACGACTGTTTCTTCATCGCTGTAGTGGACTTCTACGAGAGATTGGTTGGATTTACTGGCGGGATATTATTCACAACGTTGCGACGGCTCCTACATGTAGAAGGAGCGGGTCAGATATTCCCCAGCCAAAGCTACCAATGATATGTTAACCTCGAGACAAAGAAACTCTCACTCTCGCAATCGCTCTATGTTGTAGGCATTCTGGTGTACCATAGGTTCTAGTGACTAGCAATAGTCATCTCAAGCAATTTCTTTGGCGACGCAAGAAACAGAGCGTATCGCATAATCATCTTGGATTGAACCCGTGATTCGGATTTACGAAATACATCACATGGCTCTACACTTCCTAGTTCTGATCTTGAGTGTACAGTATGTTGCGTGATCAGAGTTGCACAATTCTTGAATTAGATCATCTCAATTGAGTTGGAGGCCGTAGTCAAGGTGTGACCAACAGGGATCAAAAATTGCTTTGCAGGATCAAAAAAAG